GCAAGGTCATTCCATGAGAAAAACTATCAAGTGGCCCCTTAAGAGTCTTTGGGCTGCCAGGCAACCCAGGACTGGCAAAATCAGGCATTGCTTTGGCGCTCAACACCAGGCTCCACAGCTTCAAAGCAGAGATGGACAGACAAGAGAGCGAGCCAGTCCTCTCCTGTTACATGTAAAGCACCGCTTGGGGCGGTGGAGGATGTGAAAAAGTACACAAGCCAGGCCCCCATCTCAGGCTTGTACAGGAAAGAAGACATGAGTACATGAAATGTTGAGCAGTATCGCTGGAATGGCCCTCAGCAGCGCTCTGTTACCCTCCCCTCGTCTGGACAAGAAAATGTAAATTTAAATGACAGTACGAAACAATATAGTGTGAGGATTGCTAACAGTAAGAACCAATGTTTTCAGAGGACTTCTTTGCAGCAAGATCTGCTGACTTATTTGCGTCTCAACGCCACCCTACAGAATAGACATACTCAATATAGTGCCCCTTACATCTGAGGAAACAGAGGTTGTCTCTGGGACACCCCCAATCTAGTGAGGCTCCCACAGGGCAGTGTGGCCCAGAATCACCATACTAAGTGCTAAGCAGTGCTGTGAGTCCAACATTTTACCTGGGGAATGCATGCAGGCTCTTCCCCAGAAACATCAGACTACAGGATTTGGAAGAAATTGGAGCGCTCATACAGCTTGGTGCTGTATAAACATTACTGACACACCCTCTGAGAATGGATTCTCCACGCTCCCCGAACAGTGGAGTTCTGTGAAGGAGCCGAGTGCCAGCCAGTGCCTCATCATGTCCCTTAGAACTATTGTTCCAGGGACAGCAGGAGCGTTCAGACAGCACGACAGCCACTGCGGCCACCGCACTGATGGGCGATGGGCGTGCCCTGCAGCAGAGAGCCGGGAGGCACACTCTCAAAGAAGCTCTTCGTGCAACCTCAAGAGAAGGCTGTCTGCAACTGTCAGAGGCGGGAGGCCGCGCATGCCGCCACTGGCCTTGGGTAACAACTGTGCGTCATAAATAGGATGTGGCATTTTAGAATGTCTTTAAAGCTATTTCCTTTTGTTCAACTAATTTAATTTGCCAAATGCTCCTGGGGAAAGGGAAGGGATCAAGATGCTGACTCCACATTTCCTTGCGGGTGTGTGTGGGGGGGAAATCACCATTTCCTTAAAAAACAAAAAAAAAAAAAAACAAAAAACTACTCTCAGAGAAATGACATGCAATTGTTGTCTTCTGGCTCCTGAAAACTCTACCTCTGTCAAAACCCTGCCCTGGCAGGTGCAGGGAAGAATAGACGCCGAACTTGAATGAATACCACATCTGTTTGTGCAAAACGGGAACAGAAGCAGCACAGAAGGAAGTAAAAGAGATAATTGCTGGCTTGAACTACGATACATTTTACTTGTGGGCAGAGGGCCAGCGTACAGCAGGCAAAATATGCAGGCCCATCTTATTGGAATTCAGGGGTGGGCCTCCGTTCCTGTCCGGAGACAGCTGTAAACCAGCAGCCCATGGCATCGCAATCAGGCGCGGAGTTTTGTCAAGGAATGCTGATATGGACAGAAGTAGCTTTGTCGGCTTCGCCTGCACCCTGCCTGGTACAGTGACAGTCAATCTCTGATTCCAGATGACAAGAACTGGATAAAAACTTCAAACAAATGGCGACCTTTGCAAAGATTAATTTGTTTACCAACAAAATGTCCCCTCTCTGTCATCTGCGATGGGGTGACCTTCACGTTGCCACATCCAGGCTGGAAGGGTGCTGCCGGGAGTCATCTGTTACGTTGACTCCATCTCAGCAATTATTCCCTTTTTTATTTTTAGTGACAAGAAGGGTTTATTAATTCACTCTGCTTCTTGTTATGGTTTATAAATGCAACAAGCTCGCTCTGAATTACTGCAGTGTAACATCAATTTGTTTAAATCTAATTCTGCCGCCGTTGCCAGATTATGTTGTGACTGTAATTGTGGCCATATGCACGGGCTTAAAGCACAGTCGTGTCTGAAAGCAGCCCACCCCACACGCTGCTGCTTCTAATCATTCGACGTTAACACAGTTGCCTCACTTTCCATTACTTTATCATCTCAGAAATGATTGTGCTTTCAGTGGGAGACACTGCTCTGCACACCCCAAGTGAAACAGTAAAGAAGGAAGCTATGATTTGTGAAGTATAGTTGCTACCCAACCAAGTTAGTGAGAAGCACTGTATAACGTGCGACTCATAAAGCCGAGAAGTCATCATAGCATTAAATCCAACCTCATGAATAAATAAAAGGTTCTAAGTTTACATGGCATTAGATATTTATTGATTTGGAAAGTGGGGCCAAAGAACTGGCATAATTCTCCAGCAACTCATAACTTGCCAAAAAGAAAAATGCTTCTATGATTCTTTTCTAGGCCATAACAGTTGTAATCAGAGTTATTTGTACAGCAATTCATAGCGATGCTTTGTTTGGCTATTTTGTTATGCATTCATAATCGTTCTTTTAAAATTCATGTTAACAGTTACATGTTTCAAGCCTTTTAAGAAACCCTTTTTATTTGAAAAAAAATTAATCAAAGTCAAATTTTCTGCAGATCTTTTACTGTGCTGCTCTGTAAGGTCTGAGTGGAACGAGCTGCTGTGAGCAGACAAGAGCACCTGGGCTCGCCTCTTCCTCTCCATCCCAGCAAGAACCTGACCAGCACACGAAACAGGTTCTGCTTTTATTGGGTGCATTGGAGATCCTAAAATCATTAGTGGTTTTGCTTTTTTTTTTTAGAAATTAATTTTATGTAAAAAAAATGGGGGGTCACAGAAAATAATGTTCTAAAGGCAAGTTCTGTGATAGTGGTGTGTGTGTGTGTGTGTGTGTGTGTGTGTGTGTGTGTGTGTATGTGTGTGTGTGTGTGTGCTTAATGCACCAAGTTCTTCCATTACCTCCTGGGGTGAGGTAAAAACCACCAGCTTCCTTAACTAATAATGCAAACTGACTGTGTACTCATATTTGCTTGTTAAAAATGCCTGAGTTATTCACAGGCTGTTGACAAGCTGTTCAAGTTGCACAGATGTGGGCAGCTTGAGACCTGGGGCAGCCAGGCAGCCTCCCACACTGAGGATGAAGAGGTGCCCAGAAAGACCAGTCTTGCTGCTGCCTCTCCAGTTAGCTGTGTCTTGCCGTGACAGACACGTAGCCACAGTTTGGGTGTGAGGTGAATTACAGCTTTTTTTTTTTTTTTAAATAAAGAGAGGTGAATTACAGCTGCACCCCACACCCAGATGTACTACAAGGTTGTTTAAAACCAGATACCTGAGTACTTCCGTCAAAGAGCTTTCTGAACAATGCCTCTGTTTCACAAATCTGAACAAAACCTTCTCTTTAGTGGCATCTGGTATCTAGGCTAGCATAAATGATAGGCTCAACTATTTTGATAGAAAGGCCAATAATTTGATCAAATTTGACACAATATATGTACAATGCTGTCGATTTTTATGAGGTCATTTTCCATGAAAAGGATCATGAATATAATAAATTAGTATATGTTATTAACATGTCACTGAGAGCAGTGACCTTTCTCAAACTCTCTTTGTTCCAACAACACAGGAACAATGCCTCTCATTCTACCTGTAAATAATTAAAAGTGTAGCAAACAGCTGAGAGTCCTTCCTAAAGTTAGGACTGCTTTGAATCCCTTATTTAAGTCTGAATATTTGGAGTCATAAAGCAAAGCATAATCCCCGTGTATCTCAGCAGGCCCTAGAAACTTCCGCCCTCATCAAAGTTTGTGTGCCGTGTGGCAGTTGCCCAGGGCTGCAAAGCCGCAGCACTCCACCAGCTAAGCCAATATTAATTCTAGATCGAGGAGGAAAACCAACAACAGCAAAAGAGAAATCTGCTGCTGTCTGTGCAGCCAGAGAAATAATATTTTTACTGCAGGGGCTTTGGGGCTCCTGGGAAACAGATAAAAACCTCTTCACATTAGTTACCCTGACATTTTAAATAAAGTTCCAACAGGAATAAAAATATCTAACTTTCTGGTTATTTCTTAGGCTAGAAAATATTTCTAGGATAAAGTGCTCTTCATCCAAGCCTGTAAGAATAACAGAAAGCACCTACAGAGAACACAAGTGTCTGAGTGCCACAAGTGACCTAGATGGTTGAAAAATTCACAGAGGAAATGGGGACAATTTAATCTGTGATAATTAAGAAAGTTAGAAATGATTTGGCAAATTTAATCCTAAAAGTAATCTTGTTCTTACTTTTAATTTCACTAAAATATACATTTAAGAGCACTGAAGAGAAGCCAAAGTTTACAAATGGATTTTTAAAATGTGTAGTTTTCACCTTAGAAGTTGTTTTTAGCATTAGCAATGATCTTAAATAGTTTTCTAGTTAAAACAAAGCACCACTCCTGGATGTCCCAGAAAACCCAACACATAGGAAGAGGCCAGTGCGTGCTCTGGGGCACCTCAGCCAGGAGCCAGCAGCAAGGGCGCAGATTCTCACACAGCACATGACTCCTCTGCCTCTACCATTTAAATCAGGAGGAGACAGCCCCAGCCCCCAGCCCTCAGCCCCGTTGTTAGCTTCCCATGGGAACGCTAGCATTGTTACTCAAGGGCACGCCCTGGGAAGGATGCTGTGATGTGGGTTCTCCTTTGCTTTTTCTAGTGGTAAATCTACTGTGAAAATACCTGAATTTCCTCTACTAATTCTTTTTGTTGTCAACTTAACTTAACTTCCTGTTAAATTTTGCCACTAGCTCATTTAAGGAGTATTAATCACAACGAAAAACTGGAATGAGCTACAAATAGATCCTTTCAAAGAAGTCTACATTTTTTTAAATCATTACTAATTACAGACAGAATAAAAATCACTTCACTTCACTTCATTAAAAAAATCTCAAGGACAAAAGAATCAGTCTTACTTAAAACCTCTCTCTTCCGCCACTGACTAGCGGCTTGAAGGCGGTTTGAGAATTACGAGTTTGTTAGAGCAGCTCATCACTCACGTGTGCCTTCCTCTGATTAATATATGGCAGATTGAGCCCAAAGTTCGTCTTCACAGCAGCTCTGCGCTGGGTGTTCTCAGGGTCCTTCATGATCTTCGTGTTCAACTCTGTCTTTGGCTGAAACAAAGAAACAATGAAACTTTTATGGAGAATGAAAAAAAAAATGCTTACTAACATTTTATACCCTCAGAGGAATATAAAAGTCTTAGAAAATGAGGACTTTAATGTAATTCTTACTGAAAAAAAATTGGATCTTTTATTTAGGCTACTAATTGACTCTTTTTATTCACAGAAAAGGAAGATTTCCCTCTATGTGTCCTATTGTACGTACAAATATATCCTCAGACATCATTCATTTGCTCAAAATATAATGTTCATGTCAACTAGGACAGACAAAGGACACAGCTCTCTCATCTTAATTTATTTCTGGCTTTCCAGGTCAAGGACTTAGTGAATAAAATCTATACTCCGGAAACACAGGCAGAGGGCTCTCTTGGTCTGTTAATGTGGCCGTGTTCCTCCAGGGACACATCACAGGTAGCTCTTGGTTTGGACTGAAAAGTTAATCACAATAAATATGTCTATACCTTCACAGAGATTTTGCCGTCTGAAATTAGCACTTTCATTAGGAAAAAATAAAGAGCATCTTGTTCCAATAACCTGTTCTTCATGTCAGAGGATTTCTATCAGAGTGGCAGTGGCGAAGGGCATTGGAAAGGTGTCACAAGACCTAAGTGACTGCTCTAGCCTGGGCTGCTGGGATGGGAGTCAACAAAGTCACATCCCCTCTCTAGAAGTCAGCCTATTTTCTTGTCAGGACAATAGCTGGGTGTGACCCCTTCATGGGGTGCTGCCCTGAGCAACCACAGTCTATGGTTTCAGGTTAAAATGGCCGTTGGCTCTAAGGAACATGGCATCACTTTGGAGATGCTGTATGACTTTTGTGCAACAATATAATTTACAAGCCTGTGGTCTGGTCACAAACCTGAGCAAGCGCACTGGTATTTAGTTCCAGAACCTTTTCATCATCCCCATGTGAGGCCTCACACCCATTAGCAGCCGTTCACCAGGCCTACTACCTCAGCCCCAGTGGCCAACAGGACACTTTCTGTCTCTACTCACAGCTCTATTCTGGACACTTTGTACAAATGGAGCACAGTAGCTGGACTTTGTGAGGTTTACTTTTAAAGGGGACTTGAAGGTACTGGGAGCAACTAGAAAATCTGATTTGGGTTCAATCAAATATTTTAGTTCAGAGGGTGGTCTGAGCAAGTGTTAAAATGTCTGCAGTTACCCAACAGGCTGTTCCATAATCCACTTATTGCTTTGAACTTAAGCATTCATAAAAAGCCTGAGGTCAAAGTGCTGAGGTAGGCTCCAGAAGTTACAAAGGACAGATCTTGTCGAGATGAGCTCACACGCTCCACGCTGCTTTAACAGCTCCGAACAATCAAACCTCCAAATAACTGTCCCTGACCGCGCTTCTTTAGCCCACATGGAGACACATTACAAACAAGCATGGCTCGAGACTCTCACCTTAAGTGTACGTGGTAACAGGAGTCATCACGGGCCCAGCTACAGCTGCTTTCCTTCTGGGCTAACCCACAGTCGCAGCACTCCTGCAGTTTTGCAGAGAGCCAAGTGCTCTTTCAAATTGAAATTAATACCTGAGCATAAGTTTTTCCTTCTTAATTAAACTTTCAGGATAATTTCATCCTACCAAGGATCAGGAAATTGCTAATATGTGTTATATTGACTGGCTGTGGTTTCTATAATTAGGACGCTTTAAGAATGTGGATTGTGGATACAATTGATGGTAATGGCTTCATCTATCACGTCTCAGCTTCGTTAGAACTTTTAAATTCTGGAATCACCGGCTCACTGGACCAGAGAGGCTTCCTTAGTTCTATTCCGTTCAATCTACTTTGTGTGGCTTCAGGACTGGCGTGGGGAAGAGATGACGGAGTTCCTGTGAACACCAGCAGTAAGACCCGGTGGTCTCTGCCCCCTTTACATCTCTGGGCAGATATTCTGGAAGGAAACCACTGTGTGATCAGAAGCGGTAGGTCAGAATGCTGCCTCTTACCGTGACTCCTACAACAGTGCTCCCGACAGTGCTAACACTCATCTTCGACACGCTGCCACCAAAGCGTGAGTTTATCATTTTCCCTGCTAAAATACTGGATTCTGGGCACCTGCTTATAATCCTAGCGCTTGGGAGGGGGAGGCAGAAAGATTAGACATTCAAGGCCAGCCTTGGCTACATGAAAACCTGTCTTAAAAACAATAAAATAATGTAAAAACAAATACTGCAGAGAGATGGCTCGGCGGTAAACACACATGCTTCCCAGCCTCACAACCTGAATTCCACATTCAGGTCCCACACATGGAGGAGAGAGCCAGTTCTTGTGGCTTGTCCAATGGCCTTTTCACAAGCACTGTGGCGCGCGCGCGCGCACACACACACACACACACACACATATAAATACATTAAATAAATACATAAATAAATTAGAAAACTAAGTAAAAATATTTATCAGAATGGGGCTGTGGTTCAGTGGTAGGCCACTTGTCTATCGTGTGAGAGGCCCCAGGTGGATGCTGAACAATTAATAAAATATTGATGATGGCTTCAATGAAAGTCATGATCAAATAGACTCAACACTTACATCTGTCTTACATTCTGTAGGTGTGTTCAGAAAACTTCTTTTGGGCTTAGACTATTATAAGATCTAGTAATAAGGGTTTATTTTTCTCAGAAAAACAATTAGAGAGCAAAAACCAAAAGAAATTAATCATTCCATTAAGCAAAAAAAAAAAAAAAAAAAAATCACTCTCTGGAAGATGATCTTTTACCAGCAGTAAGAGAAATATTAGAAATAACTTCAGAAATTTTCTTCAATTGGTCAAGAAAAGGCAGCAATTTATTTAATCTATTTTGACTCACTAAACAATCTAAAATTTGCATTCTCTCCTTTTGATAGTAATTACAAGGAGATATATCAAATGTGACTCTCATTTAGACTTTGGTTTGTAAGAACAAAACTTATTATCAGAGCCAATTACTGTTTTACCTACATGGCTGCACAGAAGCAGGGAGCTCAATTTTCATCTCATCAGTGATTTTGTGGTATTTATTTTATTACTATGCCCACAACGCTACATAAGAGGAAATAGCTTATGCTATTAAAACTAGGGCTGAGATACAAGAGGCTAAAGTTGCTTCTGGAAGAACTTCTGAATTAAAAACACTAGGCAGCATGTAATGCCATCTCCCCAGACATAGGCAGACCATAAAACAATGCGCCTCTATCTGAGCAGTAGCTTCCACACAGAGTAATCAAAATTGAAATGCTTCACAAACAAAGTTGAGAGAAGCTATTTGCCAAGTTACAGTATTATCAACAGAGCACTGTTCTCAACAGTCTGCCCGAGTAATGTCTTCTCAAGTGGATATTGCTTAATGCCATATTCCCATTGGGAAAAGACGTCTTCCATGTAAAGCTTAAGGCCAGAGGAAGGACAAATAGGAAAATAATTCAGTCACTTCTCACTCATTCTCACAACCATGATTTTATATATTGAAAAGAGCAATAGGTAGTGAGTCCCAGTTTGAGCCACATGAGTTAAATTTCTCATCTATAACATGGGGAATAATATCAGACTCAGAGTCATTTGTAGATTCAAATGACTGAGAAATGTCGACTATCTCATAAATGATGAAGTGCTATTCAGGGGAAAACTTGAAAGGAGAGCGTCCTGGCTAAAGGGGCTTGGGGAGCGAGACTGCAGTGGATCACATGCTTCAAATATATTAAAAACCATGAGTTCCTAGTAGTAATCCTCCAAAATACATAATGATAACACCAACAAATCAACTTGGAATTGAGAAAACAGAAAGGAGTTAAGCATTTCACCTACTTTCCCTTTAAGTCTGCTTTGTATTCACCAAAAACATCTAAGGAAAAGCTCTTTGTAAACAATAATGAGAGCTGAAGGAACGGCAGGGTTCTAAAAGCTACAGTCCTTCAGACAATTGGGCATTCAGCTAACTTCCATGGCAGCTAAGATCAACAACGGAGTAGAAGGTTATAGTTTTACAAAGGGCAGACCAAGCTGCTTGGAGCTGGATTTACTGATCAACTATAGAAGCATTAAAAGAGAGTAAAGAAACTACAAAACCAGGCATGACAACTCAGATCTGTAATCCCAGCACGCAGGAGGTGGAGGCAGAAGGGATCAGAAGTTCAAGGTCATCCTCCAAAGACTGGTGAGTTTAAGGCCAGCCTGGGCTATGGGAGACTTTGCAGAGAGAGGAAGGGGGAGGACTTTGCCCATGAGGATGGGGATGGAGGAAGAAGGGCGGAGAGAAGTCATGGTAGCTGGTAAAGCTAGGTGACAGTTGTGTACATTCCATTGTATGTTTGTGTCTGTCTAAAAATACTTCCTACTACATCATCAAAGTTAAGGGTTAGTTAAAACATTTATTTTATTAGCATTTCTTTCTAACCTATTCTCAAAGACTTCCCTCCTTGCTGCCCTGTCAGGGAGGGAAGGCTTAACAAGCAGAAACCTGCATAGACTCCGCAGCACCAGCTCCATACTGCTTATAAATAGCCAGATTCCAGCCTGATGCCTCAAGTTCACAAAGCTGTAAGATTAACCACTGCTCGCCAGATGTGTCTGTCCTGTTTTCTGAGAACTGAAGGGTGAGAGCATACACTTCTTCAGCTTACTTTGTGGCAGGGACAAGTAGGGCTATCACATCCGACTTCAGCTCAGTGCTTAAATGGAGGAAGGAAGGAAGGAAGGAAGGAAGGAAGGAAGGGAGGGAGGGAGGGAGGGAGGGAGGGAGGGAGGGAGGGAGGGACAGCTGCCAATCTGCCAGAGGAAATAACTCAGCAAGCGACTGCCAAGCCAAATGACCTGCCAGACAGGAGAGGGGTTTGATTTGCCTTTAATCCCAGGTCTCTTTCCATCACTGGGATGGAAAATAATGGGAGGCTTCCTTGAGAATGTCAGTCCAGGATAGTCTTTCTTAGGAGAGGGAAATGATTTGAAGAAACCAAGTCATGCAAAGATCTGGGATTGTCCAAGGAGGGAAGAATTAATTAGCG